GCCGCTACCACGTGCCCCCGCGGACTTTCCAGGACGACTACGAGCTGCAGGCCTCCAAGGCCCGTGCCCGCGGTTGGAGTTGCCGCCGTCGCCGTCGCCATCGTAGTTCTCGTCGTCGTCGTCGTCGTTGTCGTTGTAGTCTTCGTCGTCGTCGTCGTCGTCGTCGTCGTCGTCTGCGCGACCAGCAACGATGACGTCGTGAGAGAGGAACGCTGCGAGGCCCTCCTGTCTCACAAGTTGCGCGTCCGTCTCATCATGATGTGTTCTGATTTTCTGATTCATCATCACATCGTCGTCAGTACCTCCATTATCATCATCATCATCCTCATCATCATCATCATCATCATCATCAGCATTTCCATCAGCATTTGTTTCGCGCTGGTGTGGTTCCAGCACGTCGTAAGGCAATATTGCAGAAAGGGTATGACTTGTGGGGATATGCGCTGGCGGCACCTTGAGCTGAGGAAGGCAAGGGATGAAGGCAAGGAAAAGAGGAAACGCAGCAGCAACATTACTATTCTCACAGGGGGCAGTAGGGGAAAGCTAGGACAACCTGTGAGTGTCGCTATTTGTTGTGGTGCAGGTCCACCACACTTGGAGCTATTTTGCAGCAGCCTTTACGCAGGGCTTCCTCTTGTGGCGACCTGACGAAAGGATTTTTAAGTGTGGGAAATCTGCAATGGCATTTACACTAATAATTCCTTGTGTGGCAGCCCGTGCAAAGGGATTCTTCTTGCGGCGGCCTTACAACAGGGTTTCCATTGTGGGGGATTTGCAGTGGCGGCATCCTGAGTCCAGGAAAGCTAGAGAGGAAAACATAACAAACAGGAGCAACAGGACAGAACTTGTTGTTTCACAGAGACAAATAGGAAACAGCCAGGAACATCTATGATGGTATTTTTAGGGTGCAGGTCCCCCACACTTAGAACGAACCCCTTTGAAGCAGCCTTTACAAAGGATTTTACTTGTGGAAGGTCAGCAATGGCCTTCACACTTAGAATCCTTTTGTAGCAGCCTGTGCTCAAAGGATCTCTTTTTGTGGCGGCCTTACACAACGGTTTCAGTTGTGAGGTCTGCAGTGACGGCACCCTGCGCCCAGGAAAGCTAGATAGGAAACAGGACAACATCGGAAACACCTGAAAAAGCTTGTGTGTGCACACGGAACAATAAGAAACAACTAGGACAACCTGTGATTGTCGCTATTTTTGCGGTGCAGATCCACTTCATTTAGTGTCCCTTTGTAGCAGGCTTTACACAAGGATTCCTCTTGTGGCGACCTGACACAAGGATTTAAAGTTAGGGTGATTTGCAATGACTTTTATACTTCAAATCTTTTGCACTAGCCTGTGCACAGGGATTCTCTTTGTGGCGGCCTTACATAATGGTTTCAATTGTGGGGGGATCTGCAGTGGCGGCACCCTGAGTCCAGGAAAGCTCGAGTGGGTTCAAGAAAACAGGAAACACATGAACAACAACTGACGCTTTCACAGGGAAGCCGACAGGCCGCAGTCAGATTGCAGAGAGCTCTGGGGGATTCAGCGTGGCTGGCGGTGTGCTGGTGGAGTGTTTGCGGTGGGAATGTTTTTCCCCGCCAACCACCTCTCGATCTTCGGGACCAGGAACACATGTCCGCCGCAGCCAATTCAGGCTTGACGCCTCGCAAACAGGCGGGGGAGTACATCCACGTGCAGGACAGCCGGCACGCGATGGCAAAGTTTCGTCGCAGCAGCGGGCGCGTCAAACGCGCCCGCTGCGACCCCAGTTTTGGTATGCTGGTTTGTGATCGGCCCCCAGAGCAATCAAATTTGTGCAACGTCTGCGTGCACGAGCGCGCGCGCACGTGCTCGACAACCGAGGGAGGTCTTTCGTTTTGCCCCCTCCCCCCCCCCCTGATTCTCTCGGCGGGGAAAAAACTCGTCCCTCCTCCCCTCCTCATCCGCCGAGCCACCCCCGAGAAGGCCCATCACCTCCACGAGCCAAGGGCGGCCCCTGCCTGGGGAACCTCTCCCTTGGTATCTTGGGGTTCGTGGATTGGCGCAGGGTCCACCAACAGCGACTGCGCAGTCGGCTAGACCCTGAGCACGCGCGAAGCGCGCGCGTGGATCTTGTTTTATTGGTCTCGCGTGCACGTCTCACCGCACGCTACAGTCAACCCGCACTGTAAGAATTGAGACATTTTCCCAAGGGTACCCTTGGATCCTTGCCTCCGTGGTCCATCCTTGGCCACTTTCGTTGGCCGCACCCCGCTCGAAAAGCCTCGCAATGGCCCTTCCCAGGCCTTCCCACGGTATCTCGAGGCTGGAGCCTCACCCACCGGGTCTCGAGAGGAGGAGGAGGAGGAGG